AGGGGGGGGGGGGGGGGGTGACTCACTGTTGGAGGCAATAGGAACGATGGCCATTTCTCTAGCTGGGACTAAATATAATCATTAGATGGATCTATAAAAAGGTTTCTGAGAGCTGAAGGAGTAGACAAGGAAAATCTGGTCTGTATCCTTCTCAAGGATGGTGGTGATGAGTCCAGGGATTAAGAGAGCTGTGGTGTGTGGTCATTGATGTCTACAGAGCACAGTTTGGAGTAGGCTGAGTCTGAGGGACTAAAGGGAAATTCCTCATCTTAGGACTCAGGTCTAGATAGAGCCTGAAGCTATGGGCGATGTCAAGAATGTGGAAATACTTCCATGATGGAGAAGGGTCTCAAAGTCTGTAAGTCTAGTCACTAAATAGCAGGGCTAGGCAGTTCATGGGGAGGAGGCCTGCACCATGGTCCTCTTGCCTATGTGACTTCAGGAAGCCTTTTTTTAAAAACAGAGTATTCTATAAGCTCAACTTGGCCTGCAACTCAGTGTATAGAAACTAACAGTAATCCCCCTGCCTCCATTTTCTGCATGCTGGGATTAGATGTATGGGTTACCGCACCCAGATATGTAAGCTTTCAAAGCTTCTGAGAGGGTGGGCACTCTCCTGAAGGGCTCTCTGCAGATACTTATATCACTGAGTCATATCTCCTGTGTAATCTTATAAATAAACCAAAGTTCACATCTAATGAATCTCTCAAGTTCATAAATAAATTGGCTTAGTTCTAAAAAGCATGCTTTTAATAAAATCTCTGCATTCTGAATAAAATTGGCCACTCCAGTGCTTTTAACCTCACCACAATTCATCATCCCATGCTTGCATTTGCCTCCATGGTGAGACTTACACAAAGCCACAGGCCGAGCAGCAGGTTAAAGAATCCTTGACTCTACAGCCACTGCTTCCCTAAACCCTGTAGGTGCATGGATGGATGGCCCGTTGTTCAGGGTCTACACAGGTCCAAGCCACCTGGGGTCCTTGGTGCTGAGAGGGGAAGTGGACACAGCCTGGTACCTAACCCAGGAGCTATGTCCCATTGAGAACCACTCACAAAGGAAAATTAGTTTCTCCAAGGGAGTCTCACTGGATATGCAAGCCACACTTAAGGACAGTAGATGCCAACACAAAATGAACTCAGTGGGATTTTTAGAAGGTTTTTGTCTCTTAATGCTTTGTCTGGGCTTCCCCCCCCCTTACAGGTCTTTTGCTTATATATTATAGTTTCCAATTTGTGGGTTTCTTTGGTTGGTTGGTTGGTTGGTTGGTTGGGTTTTTTGGTTTTTTGAAACAGGGTTTCTCTGTGTAGCTTTGGAGCCTATCCTGGCACTTGCTCTAGAGACCAGGATGGATGGCCTTGATGAACTCACAGAGATCCACCTGCATCTGCCTCCCGAGTGCTGGGATTAAAGGCGTGTGCCACCAATGCCCGGCTCCAGTTTGTGTTTTAAATGGAATTTCTGTGTGTGCGATTGTATATGTCTGCATCTATGTATGTGTCTTGCACTTTCCTTTGGCTCTTTTTCCTGTTTGTTTGTTCTGTCCTTTCTGGTTTGTTTTTATTTTATTATTAATTTTTTAGATACCTGTTTTTTTTTTTTTTCTAATGAGAGAGAAAAAGAAAGGGGGAATGGACTTGGGCAGGTGGGTGGGATCTGGGAGGAGCTGGAGGAGAGGAAACTGTGATCAGAATATATTGTATGGGAAAAACCTATTTTCAATAAAAATTAAAATGAGTGCAGTTGCCCCCTGCCCTAGGCTGAGCCTACTTCTCATCAATTTGAGAGTTGGGCCTCTGGCTTGAGCCGTGTGTTTTCTCCCTTCTCTCTCACTGTAGACTACTGTTTTCCAAAGTGAAGCTGGAGTCGCTCTGCCGGGGCCCAGATGAGGCACTGCTCACCTGTAAGCACATGTTACAGATATGGAAATCCTGCTACAACCTCACCAACCCCAGGTAAGAGGCCAGCGGTGCCTGTTTTGTGTCGTGTTTGCATGGGTATCTGCAAATCAGAGCCATCTCCTATGGGCATTTACCTGGCATTAACTGTCACTCCCCTGTACCTTAGGCCTCCACAAATGGTAGATAATAAAAATGAAGTCTTAGGTACTGTTCTGTTGCTGTGAAGAGACACATGACCACAGCAACTCTTATAAAAGAGAACATTTAGTTGGGGCTGGCTTACAGTCCAGAGGTTTATTGTCATGGTGGGAAGCATGGTGGCAGACATAGTGCTAGAGCAGGAGCTGAGAGTTCTACATCTGAGTCAGCAGGCAACAGGAAGAGTGAGTGAGCCACTAGGTCTAGCTTGAGCACATATATAAGACCATCCCCACAGTGACACATTTCCTGAAACAAGGCCACACCTACTCCAACAAGGCCACACCTCCTGTGGACCTGTGCGGGCCATTTTCATTCAACCATCACATGGACCTTCAGGCTTCTCCATGGCTGGTCTCTAAGTCACAGGGTTCTTTTGTCCCCCTCTCCTCCCCATTCCTACCCCATAATGACCCATCCATTGACAAACGCTTTCTCTCTCCAGCCTGTGACAAGCCTTACCATCTTTCTAGAAATTGATGTATAGATTGATCACTGACATACTCCAAATGAGTTTCCTACAATAATAATTAAAGGATCTGTGTCAATAGCAGGCCGCATCCTATTAAGACAGGAAGTCACTGTGAACACAGTTAAAAATGGTTTTGAAGAAGTTAAAACTATGATTCATACAATACAAAATAAACACATATTGAAGGTTTTATTAACTTCACTTGTTTGTAAAGGAGCCAGTACAAGTTAAGATTCATTCAAAGAAGGATTTGAGCATTTGTATAGGCAGACATGCTAAAATGAATTTATAAAGAGATGAAAAAGTGGTAACCTATAAGATGATAGAATATATATTGTGGGGTTGTCTTTTCAATTATACACCCCACAGATAAATTTATCTTGCCCATTTTCTACTGATTAACTTCTGCCCTCAGAACAGTAAAGTACCTAACTTTACAGGAAGTCAAAGATGCTACCCTTTGAGCTAGCAGGTCACCAGCAAAAACCCCATAACCCATTTGCCCCAAGTCTGGGACACAGTGCCAGAGGAATTTAGCAAAGAGTTATTTGATGATTCAAGTGACTGCCCACAACTCTAACACTTGAGATTTCTCAAGTTCATGTCAAGGTATATGGGATGACTTATAGTAAGCCCTAGAGAGTCCGGAGGAGGTGAGGTGTCATTTGGTGGTAACAGGAGTATAGGAGGCAGACAAGTAGGCTGGTAACCATGGTCTACAGAGATCTGAAGAGAGGAAGGGGTCAGCTGTGAGTTAGGCTATGGCAATGGGAAATGGGAACTTTGATTTTTTTTTTAAAAAACAAAAGTTTTTTCAGGTGAACAGGTTGTGATGGCTCACACTGTAATTCCAACTCTGGGAAGCCGAGTCAGGAGGGTCACTGAGAGTCCAAGACCAGACTAGACAGCATAATAAGTTCTAGACTAGCCTAGACATCAGGATTGGTGAGTCTTTGCCCTATAACCCACCTGCAGCACATACCGCCTCAGCTGGTTGCCTCCGTGCTGGAGCCCATAGCCCATCTTTTGCCTGTACCGCCTTTAGAAAGGAGAAAATAAACCATCCGCTTTCTCTTTTGCCAATTTCCCTCAGTTCTCCACACCTCTCCCACCTCCCCACATTTCCTCCCACTTAGCAACCAAGAATATTGAATGTGCAGAGAAAAAAATAGCAGAATTGGAAAGCCTTTAAAAATACCTAACCAAATGCCTGGGCTATGTCCATACTTTACTTTCCTTGAAAGATCCTTTAGGGCCAGAGCAAGGTGTTCCCGCCCTTCCAAAGCCTTGGGCGTGGGGCACTGGCAGAGCAGCCATTTACTGGAGTGTTCCCTGTGTGTTTGCTTCATTTTCTCGGGATATAAATAAATGTTTCTCAGCAGCCCTCACCAATGCACAGATTTAGGCGTGCTTGGGTAGCTGGGTGACAAGTGGCCCTGGCTAGGGAGTGCAGCATGCAGAAAGAGGGCTGGCTCTACAGAGCCTGCTCCCGTCAAGGCCCCCAGATACAGCAGCATAGGACCAGCAGCCTCCAGGCTGTGTTCAGGTAACGTGGACTTAGCACAAGGCAAATTGTGATGAGAAGTATGTGAGGAGCATCCTTTACTAAAAATAAATAAGCTGGAAACTGAGCAGAAAGATCTTTACAGGAAGCAGTTGGTTTCTGTCCAGAGGAAGTGGGTCTATGCCACCTACCTAACTCCATTGACCTTGCCTCTGCCAGCTCAGCTGTGGTGGCCCCTTGCTCCCCCTGTCTGGATTCTCCAGTCTTTCCCAGGCTCTAGCATGTCCTTCCAGAGGCTCAGCACAGGCCCTGGGGCACTAAGAGGATGTGGAGGAGGGGCCACATTGAGAATAACCACGGTGTTCTCAGCAACTCCTTCCATCTTTATTTTTGCTTGAGGGAAATCATAATAGAAGCCGGCTGCTGAGCTGAGCCTTGGACAACTGTAACAGTAGGGTTCCACCTGCCGTTGGAAGATGCAGTTCCTACTTTGAGCTAAGTGGGTGGACGTTCTCTCCAGTGTACATTTGGTGAAGTGCTGCCATTTTAGGAGCCGACTTCTCCTTTCCTGGATCTGAAATTTTTCCTGCATCTAGGATAGGCTATTTCTTGGGTTTTGTCTTATCTTCCTTAGTATAGAACAAAGCCCCCTCAATTCTCTGCAATGACAGCATGAATCTGACCAGAATCTCACCAGAAAGGTCCTCATGCACTCCCAGGACTTGGAGTCCCGGCATGTCAGCCAGGGATGGTGGTAATTCCTTTCACTGAGAACTCCCCGGTGCCAGCACCACACTGGGCCATGTGGTGCCACGTTTTGTGCTGGCCTCGTTTTGGTCCCTGCATTGACCTGCAAGATAACTGCTGTTTGCTGCTTGGGAGGAAATGAAGTTGAAGCTCAGGGAGACTGAACAACATACCCAAGCTTTCCAACTCAAATATCCAGTGGAGCCACCATCCAACCAGAGGCTGTCTGACTCCAGAGCTCCCTCTCGGACCAAATGCTGCCTCTGTTGATGACAACCAGTTTCCCATCTTCGTCTTTTTAATTGTCAGTCACTTCTTCTTCCCTCTGATTACTGCCACCTGAGCCATCTCTGTCATTAGCCTTGGCTGACATCTTCATGGCTGGAAGAAGCTTGTTTCCTTCCTAGCTCTATTTCAGTCACCACCAAACAGATTTAAAGCTGACACAGACAGATGCGTGTTTTCCTTACTTCAGCCCCACTAGTAATCATCAGCATTTTGGTAGGGCTTTTTTATTTTTCAGAACATGCTCTCATTCTGTCTTCGGAAAGCTGAATCACGTGGGCAAATACCATGTTGCATGGGACTCATTTTACTCCAGCAAAAAGTGAGGCTCAGAAACACTGAGGGCCTGTGTAAGCATCATGACCCAGGCCTAAGAAGCTAGAGAGAGGCAGGCGTCCTGTCTTAGGGTTCTGTTGCTGTGAAGATTCACCATGACCACAGCAAGTCTTATAGAAGAAAGTATTCAAATGGGGCTTGCTTACAGTTTCAGAGGTTTAGTCCATCGTCATCCAGGCCAGGAGTGGGGTGAGGTGTGTGCAGGCAGACATGGTGCTTGAGAAATAGCTGAGAGTTCTGCATCTGGATCCACAGGCAGCAGGAACAGAGAGAGACTCCTTCACTTCAATTGGGCTTTTGAAATCCCAAAGCCCAACCCAGTAACACCCATCCTCCACCTCAATTCTATAAGCCTATGGAAGCCATTCTGATCCAAACCAGCAGTCAACTCCCTGGCTCCTAAAGACTTTTAGCTTATATCATAGTGAAAAAAAAAAAAAAACCCATAAGCCCCATAGTCTATTACAGTCCCAACACTGTTTACAAGTCCAAAGTCTCTTCTGAGGCTGAGGAAATCTCTTAACTGTAATCCCCCTGTAAAAACCAAATCAAAAGGCAGATCACAACCTTCCCACATGTAATGACACAGGACACACATTACCAGTCTAAGAGGGAGGAGAGGAAGCATGGTGAGGAAATGCTGAACCAGAGCAAGACCGAAACCTCTCCTTACAGCCTCTGCTGTGGGTTTCTATCTGCAGCCCGCTCTTTGGTGCTGGGGAGAGGCCAGGCTGCCATGGGAGCTCAGGGTTCTGACCCCTGGTCCACCACCACCACCAACTTTTGTTTAGCTTCTCTGCAGCTATGGAAGACAGGATGGGTTTCTAAGAGAAGCTTACAGTTCCAGTTTAACCACTGCTTACCATACTCTGAATCCTCAGTCCTAACAGGGAATAGTAACTCCCTGGAGGTGCACATGGATGTGAGTAGACATTCCCAGCTTATACACCATGGTCTTGGAGAGCCTTCTCCTGAAACTACCTCTTAGCACCACTCACCAGGAGTGGTTTTTCCATCTTTCCTGCCATCTACAGTTCCTGGGAGATGTTCCTGGCAGACTGAGTGAGTGCCAGGCTGAGTGGTGAAGTGAGATGATAAGGTTCATGAGAAGTCCCCAAGTAGACAGAATCCCAAAGGGAGAAAGGAAAGTGACTTCTAAATCAGTGAGAGAGACTTTGTTTCTAGGAAGAAAACATTCAATATGGAAGTAAAATGGTCTCAGTTTTGAACAATGTATAGTTACATTTAAGGGGACAATGGAAGACAGACTGAAGGTTACACCCAAATGTAGTTGTTCCACCAATGAGGGGGAGATGGTCTTGCATCATTATCAGTGATTTCAGTTGCTTGGGATTTCCAATGTTTGAAGTAGGAAGCCCTTAACTTCCCACATCTCCCATAGTTACACCGGAAGGCCACCAGACATAGTAGCCCAAGCAAATGTTTATAGGGAGCCATGTTTCTGACCCTTGGCATGTGCCTGGAAGTGATAACTCTCCAGGATGCTCCATCCACACATACTTCCCACCTCCACCCAATTCTGTGTAGGAAGATAATCTTTCCCTTCTCTGGCCAGAGAAATCACCGAGGTACAATGGCCTTGCTCAAAGTGATGACTCATTAGTGGCAGACACAGGATAAGAGCCCAGATCCCTATCCAGCTCCAGGACCCCAGCTTTTGGGTCCTTCCAAAGCATAGCACATGGCAAACAAGCTCATGCTCTGAAACTTGATGAGATGGAATCCTGCAGCACGCCCCAGTGTAGTCCACTGGCTGCCGAGTCAGGTCCTTCCTTTGCACTATTAATACCTCATGTGTTCCAGAATCCGTTATACATTGAGACAAAGCCTTCCAAAAACTCCCTGGATGTGGAACCATTGCAGTGTTCAGAGCATTAACCCTTTGTGATTGTTTATATTAATAATGGTACGTGGACAGACCAGTATTAGAAACAGTGATTGTCTGCTCAGGCGTTTGCATTGTCTTCTGCTAGGGGAGATTTTTTTTGTTTCCCAGTGTGGAAATAATGAATAGTGCAGCTTCCAGCAAGCCTGTATGGATGATGTAGTAAGTGCAGGCTGGCAGTCTGCAGTGAGTGAAGTTTCCTCGGCTTCCTGTGTTTCTCTAACTACATTTCTAGACGTGGAAATTGCAGCCTGTAAACTGTGTTAAGGTTCATAACGACTCTTGTTTGCTGCTTTCGAGCAGCAACAGCTGTGCACAGGAAGGAAACTGTGTTCCTTTACCATAGATTTCAAATGTCTTAACAGAAAAAAAGTCACTCCTAGCACTCCAGACATTATCATGATAGGAAAAAAACATGATAATTTCTACCTACTTCATAGATTGTGTCTTAGACTGTGTGGGCTAAGGTCCTTTAACTGCTTCATCCCTGTTTAGCCTGCAATGGCTCCCATGTGCTAGTGAAAAATGGGCGCCAGAAAGATGTGCAGTGCCGGAAGCTGGTGGGAGTGGCTGTCTGGAGGCAGATACCAAAACCTGCTGTGTTTTCCCAAGTCCCCTCTGGCCAGCCTTCTAAACTCAGCAGAGCCAGAGGGCCACAGCTCTGCCATGCCTGGCTCCTTGAAGCACCCACAGCACCTTCTCCTCATGTACCAAGTGGGAATGTTATCCATGTAAGGGACTTCAGATTGATCTGGGAACACACTCAAGTTCATGACTGATCACCCTGAAAAGCAAGGACCAGGAACCCTCAAATCCAGCAGCTGCCCCAGGAACTATAGGAGTCTTGAGAAATTGTAATTGTCCTAGAAATTTGAACATACTTTGTCTGGATGGGGCCTTGGCACTGTAGAATTTTGGAAATGTTCTGGGTAATTTACTCTCATGCCACTGCAGAGTTCAAAGCCCTGGTGTGCTTGGTAAAGCCCTCTTGGAGGGTAGTGCCTTAGGAGGGGGATAAATTCATTCCTAAATCTCATGACACAGGATGCCAGCCGTTATCTCCCAGTCATGAGGACAAAGGAAGTTCCTCTCCTCTCCTCCTCTCCTCTCCCCTCTCCTCCTCTCTCCTCTTCCCTGCCCTTTCCTTTCTCTCCTTCTCTCCCCTCCTCTCTCCCCCTCCCCTTCTCTTCAGCTCCCCTCTCCTCTTCTCTCCTTCCCCCCTCCCTCCCTCCCTCCTTCCTGCCCCCTCTTTCTCTCTTTCTTTGTGTAAAAGATGTGCATGTGTACAGGTGCACATAGGCCACAGCTCATCTGTGGTGATCAGAAGGCAGTTTTCAGGAGTTGGTTCTCTCCGTCCTTGGTCTGGGGATCAAACTCACATTATGAGGCTTAGGGAGCAAACGTTTTACCCACTGAGCCATTTCACTAGCCTGGTCTTCTGCCGTGTTTTATAATGACACAAGAATAGAAGCAGCAAGGACCTGTGGGTATCATGGAAGCCGTTTGTGATATGCAGCAATGAAGCCAAGGGTGCAGGATACCTTTGGATGTGGGAGGCTATGAGGAGCATCCAGACACATGTAGGTATCCCGGGCTTCAGCCTTCCGTGCCAGTCTGATCTTAGTCTTTTGGGTGACTGACATTTACAGTGTGTTTTGCAGTGACTCTGGACGTGGGAGCAGCCTCTTAGATAGAACCATCGCTGACAGACGACAGCTTAATACAATCACATTGCCAGACTTCAGCGATCCTGAGACAGGTGAGAATCAAAGGCCAGAGTGGGGGATCCAAGAGCAGACGGTGGGACCAGGTGCTGAGTTGGGTATTTGAGATTGTCAGGCCCCAGGAGTAGAGTGTGGGGTGCGAGGGGTTGGGGAAGAGTATGGGAACAGGCCTCAGGCAGAGAGCTGAACACTTAACTGTGGTGCACTTCTTCAGTCTCAATTTCCCGGTGTTGGTTTTACAGTGAGGAAAAGTAATATTAGCCCAGATGGACTCTTCAGTCTGTTTCCCCTTGCTCTGGGAACTTAAACTTTGAAACTACAATTAGATGGGTTCCTCTCTGCTCTTCCTGCTGTAGGCTTCTGCCCAGGTTGAAATCAGCCATCTGACTTCCAGTCAAATGCATAGGTAAACACAAATGCTTCCCTCAGGAGGACCTGTGCGGGGGCAGCAGCAGCAACTTCTCAGCTGCTAATTCTCCTGTCCCCACGTGGTGGCCCATAGCCCTTACTGCCTCTGAGCAAATGTTTTTGCTTGGCTGGTAAAGACCTGTGGGGGTAGTGTGCTTTGTGCTCACGTGCTCCCCGGGTGCAGGGAAGTAAGAACACCTCCCTAATTTTCATATCTGCAAACAGGCAGTTCCAACAGCAATGCTGGCTCGTCTCCGACAATCTGGGGACTCCACAGACCCACAAAACATAATGAAATTCACTCCGTTTCAAGCCTTAGAGGTAGTTCTGGAACACCCTTAGCACCAGCTTTTGCCACTGCTCCCCCCCCACCCCCCAACACCCAGCAAGGGACACTGCAAGCCTTGGCCTCCATGTGGCTCACTTCGCCTTTTATGGGCTAACTTCACAGGAGCCATGGGGTCTTTTTCCTGTCCCTGTGCCACATCCCAGCTCCTGACATCCTCTGGAAATTCCAACCCAGATGGGTGGTAGGAATGGGCCAGGGAGCCTGGTGCTGCTCCCAGAACCCATCCCATAACTTTTGCTGACTCATTCCTCCAAGGCTCCCAATTCAACGGCAGCCTAGGAAGTCCCATCCAGACCCTGGCCCTGTTTTAATGAATGTCGGACACAAGAGATAACACAAATTGTGGCTGCATTGAGTTGACCTGGCTAACAAGTACTGTTTACAGGCAGACTGGTGTGACCACAGGCTAGCCCACCCCAGCTTGGTCAGCATTTGGGGGTGGGCACAAACTCCAAGGCAAAATCATGTCTGGTGAATACAGTCACCCCAGAGGCCTTTTAAGGCCCTTATAGAAAGGAAAGGTCGGACTGTCCCCTCTAGTCAAAATGAGCTGAGGCTGGGACAAGGAGAGAGGAAAGCCAGGGACACTGACTATGGCCACTACCAAAATTCAGGCTGATTCCAAAGAGCTGCTCTGGTTGTGAGGGCTGTCCTCCCCCCCAGGCCTGTCCCTCAGCATCCCCTGAGAGTAGTCATACTAAATCTACACCTCTTTCCTTTCAGCTACCTTCAGTCTCACTTTCTCTTTGGGTCCCAAGACTTGAATGTTATTTTTCCATAACAGAGAGCCACAGAAAAGGAGTAAGGCCCTTTTTCTTGCTGCCCTCTGCTCCTCGGAGCATCTTCCCTGGGACTCTCAGGCATGCCTTCTACAGGATAAACCTCAGGTGCCATGTTGTCCAACGTGTGGCCCTGGCTGTGTAGTGGCCCACTATTTTTTCTCCCTTCTCTACCTTAGTGCCACTTTACCTTAGTGATAAAGGTCCCTTACTCCAAGGAAATCCAGGTGTCTGGAGTTTGGGCTCTGGTTCCTGTGTCCCTACCAGACAGCAGTGGAGACACCCCCTCCAGAGAGAGACCCCCTCCAGAGACAGACCCTCCAGAAAGAGACAGGCCAGTAACCATCTTGTTGCACTATGTAAATGAACCCTCCAGGGCCCCTTTTTGTCTGATCTGCTGTGGATCCCTGCTATTTGCATAGCACCCTTTAACCAGTAGACCAGGGATCAGAGAGCTAGGAGGCCTTCCTAGGGGAAGTCCTGCCACTGAGCATAAAACACTCTGAACTGATAGTGTAAGTCAGAATTAGGAAGGCTCACCTAGAAGGAGAAACAAACGATGCCTCTGTCTTGATGGACAGAAGCCAGTTTTCTTTAGTTTGGTTCCTTATGAGGCATCTGGCAGCACAGTTGCCTTAGTCACACGCAACTTTGTAGATGGTCTGTCTACTTCAGCTGCCTGTAGATATTATCTATGCCCCCATTTTTATTTCATTTCAAGAGAAAACAGAACTCACAATTCAAATTACAAAGCTAACTCGAAGTGTGCCATGGAGACGTTTTGTTTTCATAGCGCCCCTCCTTCACCATCACCCCTTCCAGAAGACAGACTCCAGTAGCCCCCCACCCCCATTAACCCTTGGAATAAGCACATGCATTATTCCCTGCCTGTTACAGGAGCAGTCACTGCTGTGTGCGCTCCGCAGTCCTGGCATTCTTCACTTCCCAGCACATCCCTAGACAGTGTCCTCATTCTGTTTCAGAACTCTGAATTATTCCATGACCCCGTGCTTTTACATTCTGCATTCTCACCCAGCCAGCACTATCTCGGGCATTTTTCTTCCTCTGCCAAAGTTTTTGGCTCATGTGATGCTGGCAGACGCTAGCTAATTTTGAGCATCCACTGTAGCATCGCTGGCTCAGTAAAGGTGGGCTACAGAGAAAAGAAAACTTGAAGGTCAGCGCAGCTTCAGTCTAACCGGGGTGGCTGTAAGATCACATTGTGTCTGGGAGAACCAAGCTGACAGGTGGCCGTGTGTTTTCAGTCCATGCTATGCCTGGTGCCTATTTCCCTAAATCCTAGGGTATCAGACACAGCACAGTCATGCAGTGCTAACATCAGAAAGAGGCCATGGCTAAAGCAATAGCAACTTTCCATTGTCTTGATCCTGTCACTCAGGTCATAGAGCGGAAGCCTCCACTGCACTCAGACCCCTTGAGAAGCCATAGATCATCTTACGCTACATTTTGTTTTTCTCTAGAATTTAAATGTATGAGACTAGAGATACTAATATAATGAATTCCAAATGTATAACTAAGTTATACATTGTATATACATATAAATATATATATGAATGTTAAACCATAAACCCTGATTATACATCTCTGGACATTATACAGTGTAGATTCAGTGTTCTTGATTCCAGAAGTGGTTGATGAACAGAAACTGGGGTTTCCACCTCTGAAGCTACCCATGTGCAGATCTCTGGAAGAGCATGCTCGGTATCAGCATACATAAGCTTTGGCCCAGACACGTCCTTCCGGGCTAGCAGAACAGAGTTAAGTTTTACTAAGTAAACAGTTACAGAACATGAAATTCCTCTGTTGTCCCCCTGGCTTCACTTCTCCCACTGATAGGCCCCAGCCAGCAAAAAGGAGAAATCAATGGAGTGACAGTTTTGAAACTCTGAGTCGTGGTCTTTCATTTGGAAAGAGTCCTGAAATAAAGGGGGGGGGGAATATTTTTCTTTCTTTTGCCTTTGAAATAGGATGTGGGGCTTATCTTTAATTGTTGGTAGATATTAGCAGACACCTATCCAAAGCAAAATAGCTTTCAACAGAAAAGTCTGATGCCTTTTGTTTGGGAAGGTTGCAGCTGTGGTGGTCTTTGTGGTGTCCCATACACCACCACCTCATACCCCCCCCACACACCCTGCTGTCAGGCCTGAAACCTGCAATACAAGCTTCCTTTCCAAAGGGCCCCACACATCCTGCTTCCTTTACAAAGGGCCAACCATTGCACACAAGAGACCACCCAAAAAGCTTAATCATTCCATTGTCACAAGACTGGGACCACGACATGGCATTACACTAAGCCCACTGCACCTTGCGAAACTTGCACTTTCACGTGAACATTATATAAGTCTCCTTAGAAAAAAACAATCTGTGGAAGGAAGGCCAAGGAGGGAAGAGTGCCATGCAGAAGGCCCTGCATGCTGTAGGTAAAGACGGGTGGATTTCAGCGGATCACTCTGCTGAACCTGTGCCCAGGTAAATCAGAGTTATTTTTACTCTGTGATCTTGCAGAGCAATCAAATAACCAGTGGAAAACAGATTTGTTTTCTTTGAAAAACACTTGTACCCTAGTCAAGTAGAGGGACGACTGTATTGCCTGCCCTCATTTTCTTTGCAGCCTATGTGAGTATATTAAAAGCTAGTTTATTTTTTTCTTTGTGTTTCTAAAGGTTTTGTTTTTGCTTTCATTTGTTTTCTCTCTTTCACTTTTTAGTGTCAGACTCCTCCTCCTCCTCTCTCTCAAGAACCGACTCACCTCTCCACCTGTTTGTGTCTTCTCCTCTTCATTCTCATCCCAAACCTGACATCTTTGTGTGGCCCCCTGCTGCTCATTCATTCAGTGACCCAGGTCCCCACCGGGAACCTTCACTCTGTAAACATGGTTTTTTCCTTTCTTCTTAGCCGCCCTTCATTTGCTTGGTGTGTTGTTCCCTGATAATCTCCCAACTGATAAGCTGGCTAGGAAACCCCATCAAATGTGTCTGGGAAAGATCTTGCTTATTTGCATATCCAAACCAGTTGGGGACAGACAGAAGGAAAGCTAAGGCTGCAGATAGTGACCACATCCTAACCTCCCCTGAAAAGTAAAGGACATGGGGTTCCACGAAGAACTATTGAAGGTCTTCCAGAGTGTCCCTTCTAGTCCCTGGGTCCTTCTGTGCTTTCCTGGAGCAGGCATAAAGGTATGAAAGCAAAGTCATGGGCTGGAGAGATAGCTCTGTTGACGAAGTGCTTGAGACAAGTTCCTAGCACCCACTTAAAGGCAGGGCACAGCTCCGTACATCTGTAATCCCAGTGCTGGAGAGACAGGGACAGGCATATGGCTGAGGCTCAGTATCCAGCCAGCCTACCAATTTGATGAGTTCCAAACCAGTGCAACCTGTCTTAAAAAGCCGGGTGGTGGTGATGCACACCTTTAATCCTAGAACTCTGGAGGCAGAGGCAGTTGATCTCTTTGAATTCCAGGACAGCCAGGGCTGCTACA